TGCAGCTCAGATGGGTATGCTTGGTACCTCGAGTCGTGTTTATGCCTTTGCTGAAGTACGTGGTGAATATTGCTGGTTGTGTGGTTTGAGGTGGGAACTTAATAACTGTGTATCCTTTTTTTCATTAGAAATGACTGTATTTGATAGAGCTGCATTAAACCTACGGTGGCAGAGGATTCTGCCTCTTTTTTTGGGGAAAATAATTTTCAACTATTCTCTAGATAGGGAGCAGCTAATGTGACTCCTATAAACAACTGGCAGTGATGCACTGAGTACCCATTTAATTGTCATAAATGGCCGATATAATTCTCCCTGGCTGGTGTTCAGCCTCCACACTGTTGCTGTGATTTCAGAGTGTGGCTTGCACTGAGATTCAAGGTGGAGAATTGAAAATCATTGCGAAGATGCAGCTTGCAATTAGGATCGTACTCGGATGTAATCTGAGTGATATTTGTCATAGCTTGTCTAAACCATGCAGTGTCCTTTCACACTGAAAAATCTCTTGATTATGAAAAGTTGTTTTAAAACTTCTGGGTATGTCACGTTCGTGCATAGATACCTGTTTTGTGTGATGTTTACATAATTGTGAGTTTATAAAATGAATGGGGTTGGACAAAAACCAGCTTTGTTGGATGACCACAATGAATAATTTAAATATCAGTATTTTTGCGTTAGGCCTTATGTTTTTGAAGGTCTTGGCCATCTGGGCATAGGTCTCGGTGTTAGTGCTTGGAGAGCACACATTCAGAACGCTGAACTCCACCGTATCTGTCGTGGTTCACTTGCTACAAGCACAGTATGGGGGGTTACTCATGCTTTATTTTTGCCACTTCTGATGGTGACATCTAATGCGTTTTTGTTCTTTCTCCATCTGCTGCTTAGCAAGAAAGACAGTGTCTTGAATTCCCGATAACTGACTGCTCCTGAATGGTAATTACCTCCTGTGTCAGAGTGAGTCACTGAGCGTTACCGAGTGTGAGGATCCGCGGTTGCCCCTGGACGAGGGGTGGTTTCAGAGGCAGGGACTGAGGGGAAGGGGGTCCATAGAAAACACCAAAAATCAGCAAGATACCTCAGTTTTGTATCCCGACCTGTTAATAGAGGCTATGGGCAGTGGGAGACTGCTAGAGCTGAAAGTCAGGACTGAGAGGGCTGCAGGAATTGTCCCCTTCATGCAGCGTAGGGTGGGCTTTCCAGGGGGAAACTGTCTCCCCTTTGGAACGAGCTCTGAGCTGTTGGCACCCTGCTCTCCAGCTCCACGGGCTGGCGAGAGGGCTGTTTTCTCCGTGTGGCAGGAGCGTGGCACTAGATTGACTACGTAGTTACTAGGCTTTGAATTGGGTACTGCGTACTTGCCTGGGAGAGCTCATACCATGTCCAAGGAGGGTTGGCGTCTGCTGCCTGACCTCAGCTGACCTGGCTGCTGCAAGGCTGACCTAAACAGCGTAACTTTCTGAAACTGATGGGATGATAACTGTCCGAAGCTGCTCTTGATGCTTCGATTTCTACATTTTCCATAATTCTGGACATGGTTTTCATAATGCAAAAGCTGTTAAAAAGTTAAATATTAGGCTCACTTATTTTAACATCTGGTGTCTGCAGTTTCCAGCTGTTAACACAGGTGAAGATTTTACCGAGTCAGGAACTGTAATATAACAAATGAGTACTGGTGCTGCTATATATTTATCACAACTGAAGCCTGATATTGTGTGCACTCTAATCAGGGTGGATTTGAAAGAGGAAAAGATAGTAATATTACAAGGGCATAATTTGTTGGGTTTTTTGTTTGTTTGTTTTGTTCAGAAAGTAATTCTGCTGCTTTTCCTTGCTCGGTCTCAAAACCTGTTGGAAATTACTGTGGGAAACAAGGTAGTTCAGATGCAAACCTCTCCCATCCTGTTTAGCACTGTAGTCATGAGAACTAATAAAGCTCCCCTGTGCTTACCAGAAGTTCCTCGTTGTGGGTAGTGAGAGAGCAGTACTTCATGGTTTTTCTCTCCCAAATCTGTATTTTTTTAAGGGAGTGGGTCATCAGTGGTTGAGCGGATCGCAAGGCAATCTTGAAGTTTTGGTGCCTTCACACCTTGAAGATTGCTTTAGTTTTTAAAACTGGCTTGACCAGTGGATGGTGTAAAGGTTAAGGCAATACATAGACAGATTATGTATTTTATGTTAAACATTTTGCCATTGACTTGTTCCCAGGTCAACTGCAAAGCTGATGTGTTGTCAGTCAATGCAGTAAATGTGTTAATGTATGGATGCTGACAAGGACACAGAGTATTCCATAAGTGTATTCATTTGTTGGCTGTTTCCTATCAGAAACTTTCATTTAAAGGTATTCTTTAAAATATGAAAAGATATCCATGCCTCGAAGTGCCACACACTTTAAGTATCTGTTTGTTCTTTCCTGAGCATGCCTTTTTATAGTTCTTAATTTGTTTTTAATGCTTTGGTAATTTGCTTTTAATTTTTCTGTGCTGAAGACACCATCAGGGTTACCTGCAGAGCTGTGCTGTCAGCTCCTGGGAGGTAAACAGAGAGAAGGTGACTGGAGTTCTTCCGCTTTTGTTTTCTGGGCAACATTCATTTAGAGGTTAGTTTTGTCCCTTATGGCTCCAGTCAAATTCCAGATAACTACTAGGTCAAGATGGAAAGTTAAAGAACAGCATAGTCAGTATTTTAAAAATACCTTTACCGAACCAGTGACTTAGGAATACATATCTGAGCTTTCCTGATCTAGTCTTAATACCATAAATTTGTTCCAAACTCTCTTTGAGTTGAAAAATGCAGGTGGTTGGGTATTTAGTTTGCAGGTTACCTGACTTAAGTTTCAGAGTTCTGTGGAATAGACATTGCCATGTTGGTGATCCTGAATGACTGCTGCAGAGCGGATCCCATTTCTGAGGCTCAGGTTTGCAGCACTGCTCTTCTCACAAGGCTCAGGCTCACTCCTGTGCCTGACATGAGCTCTAGGCTGTAACGAGAGGGAGAGTGGATACTTTGGTGGAGACAGCCCAGTGCGAGAAGCTTGAGCAGGGTAGGAGACTTGTTTCCCTCCCTGTAGGTTAATTGAAGAGTAAGCACGTAAAACCTTCGCTTAGGGTAGCTTTTACCTGTTGGGCACATCTCTTTCAAATCTTGAGACAAAGGAACTGACTTCCATGAAACTGGAGGGAAATAAAATGAGTTTGAATGAAGCTGACTGCGAGGGTACTTTTACCCTTTGCCAGGGAGGAGGATTGTCAGTTCTGATCAAACTTGGGAAGACTTGCTTTTGGTGGTTGCTTTTTGAGGATGATTATTATGCCTTGTTCTAATAGAGCGTGGACTAGGAGAAAGGGGGAAGATGGGATTTTAAAAAATCCTGTTCTGTGTCCCTATTTCTTACCATCCCTCTCAGCTGAAGTGGGAACAAGAAGGTAATGGAGCAGGATTCCCTGCGGATAGGGTTTGGATTCAGGTGGTGATTTCATTGCTTTAGCATCTGCTTGCAGAGGTGTGTTGTTTTTTTTTTTTCTTGCACAGTTACACTGGTGCTGAATTAATTGTTTGTGTGGCTTTGACCTACAGCTATAACCCGATAAAGCCACTGGTCAAAGAAATTAGCTGTACCCTGACTTTAGCTGCCTCTAAAACAGGAATAATAAGCTTTAAACTGGTTAGCACAGAAGATTAACAAGAAAGTGATACTGTTGAAGGTGTTTTTCATTGCCGTATCTGTGAGGACTGTCCTGTCAGTGTAAAAGGCACACGGAGCATTTAGCTTGATGACTCGCAGCCTGAAGATCCCTTGCTATGTCAGTAAGAGTTGGCATCACCAAAACGTGCCTGTTCCCAAAGCAAGTGATTCCAGCATGGTATGAAAACTGCGGTCATTTAAACTAGGTGGCAACACTTGCAAATTTGGAACATTAAGACTTGTGTGTTAAATATAAAGCTGCTTTAAGAAAAGCTGTTAATCAGTACATATCTGATGCACAAGTGAGTGGGTAAAGTCCATACACAAATACATAAGTAAAATCTATATTGGTCTCCCCATACCGCAGCAAAATCCTGACTCCATCCAGTTATCCTTTTGGGAAAAGATGTGTCAGGCTGTTAGCTGAAGCCTGTTGTATTCAGGTGATGTTAAATTAGTAGGTGAAGGAAACATCAAAGATGAATTTTATCCACAAGTTCCTGGCTACTGTTACTAGGGTATAAAAAAAAAAAAATCTGGATTTGCACACAATTCTATGATTGCTATAAAAATATTTCCCTTTGTCAGGTCACAGTTAGAGATACAGTTGCTGTCTACAAAATAGTTCAGGGAAGTCAGAGTTATTTATATATCTTTCAAAATCCAACCTTCAGCAAAGCATACTGCCTGTAAAGGATTAGTGCCCAGTGAGTCTCTAAAAACTGCTAATAAAGCTTTATATTTTAGCGAATGTTAGTGGTTACTTTTAGGAGTGGAAGGAAGAATGCTTATTTCCCATATAACTGCCAACCACTTAGTAATTTTTGCTCAGTGCTGAACTCCAGATGTGAATGCTGTCTTGGGTACAGTGTTTAGGGGCTTCTGAGCAACCCGCCTCTCCCCTAAATCTTCTGTCGAATATTCAGTGCCCGTGCTATGAGTGTTTTCTACTGCGTTCTCCTGCCCTGAATCAGCATGGGTATACTTAAATACAAACAACCAAACAAAAATCCCACTCAGGTATTGAGCCATTATAAAGTTTTGTTGAAGTTAACTACTGTTTTGAGGAAAATCTAAAACAGTAGCTGCTGGGTGTTGCTTTGGAGTTCCTTCTGCGTGTGAGCCTTGCCACAGACTGGAGTGATTAAAACAGAATAATAATTTGGTTTAAGTGTTAAGTGTATTTGACTTTCTTTTTGGCATGCTAGCATAGAAAATTTACCTTCCCTACCCAAAATGAAAGATTTCCTACATTTATTTTGTATGTGTTCTGTATTTTCTTCCTCTGTTTCAGAAGGAAAACTTTCTGGCAGTGCCCTTGCTGAGCCTTTCAATTGGTCACCTCCTGCTAAGGCTTGCTGGGCTGCGGGCACTTTTCGTTGTGGTACAATTTCTGCCTGTACCTCTGGGAGAAGAAGTGCAGGGCTGTAAATTCCCACTTGGTGGGAAGCTCCCCAAACCCTTTCATATGGTTTTTGGTTTGTAGAGTATTCACAGAACGAGTGATTGGATTCTGATTGTTTTTATATGCCCAGCTGCCTGGGCTAATTACCTGATGTAGTCCTGAAACTCCTCCATGCCTTCTCGGGGGGTTTGTGTTGCTGCGATTTGGTAAGGGAACTGGTACAGCTGCTGATGCTGCGGGGCTGCCAGGGGAAAACCGAGTGGAGTTCCCCTTTGGGCCTGCTGGAAAGCAGAGCCGTGCCTTCCCTGAGGTTTTTTGTGAGGTCGGGGTTTTTCCACATATTTTTGTAGGACTTGTGGTGCCCTAGCAGATTGTGCCTGGCTCATCCTCACTGTGTAAATGAGGGGAGTGGAGTGTAGGTGAAGCTTGGTTTTGACCAGTTGGGCTTTCAGAAATAGTGGGCATTAGCTGGGTAACACAAGACTGCTGCTTTCAAAACTTGGGTTTAATCCTATTTGCTTTTCTGTGCTTGCCAATGAAGCTCGTTAGCAAAACTGTGCTTCCAGAAAATTGCTGTTGCCCGCTTACAGATGCAGCGTGGTGTGTGCAGAACGGAAAATTTGTTATCACTGAGCAATAGAGTAGTTAACCAGGGAGGTTGTGTGGTCATCTTTTTAGCAGTATTTTGAGAGCAAATTAAGCAAACTTGTGCTAGTGTAAAAGTGTAAGTGGGACTGCATGATCTTTCCATGTGCCTTTCAGCCTCGCAGTGTGGTGGGTTTAGCGTTTAAAAATGTGTGTGGGAGAATCATCCCTGTGGTGTTTGTCAGCTGAAGGGGAACGACTTGTTTTCTTTGTCTGCTTAGGGAAAACTTAATTGATCAAGAATGTGAAAAACTTGCCAATAGAAAAATGAAGTGTGTCTGTCTTGTCGTCTTCTGCTAAATCTGGTGGTTCGTTCCAGGCTAAAAGTTGTGTCTGAGTTACAGCAAAACAGGACTTAAGATACTGCCAGGTTCTTAAGAGGAGAAAAGTTTCTCTTGCCATCTGTGGGTAGTTACATTTTAAGATATGTTATACCTTTAGAACTTCAAAAAAAGTCCGGACTGCTGTCTTTTAAAGCTTTGAGGCTTTTCAAGTATTTGAATAAAATGAAAATTCCTTTAGCTGTCAAACTGCCTTACTGAGTTGAGTGGAGGGCTTTTGCATTTGAACTTCGAGTTGAACTAAAGCATGGGCTGAATTTATATTTGGTTAGGAAATGGTGCAGAATAGCTATCACAGTATATCAAGATGATATATCATCTAACGGAGATGCGTGAAAGATAATTTTTCGAACTGTGGTTTGTGCTGATTTGGCTTTGGACCAACAAACTCAGGGAAACTTGACTTGACTGAACTGCCAAGTCCAGCTGGTCAAGGAGGTACTTGAGAACATTCTTGAAGTGAGAAAATGTGTAAGCAAGTTGTACCAAGTTTGCTGGCAGGCAACGTATTTTTGCACCAGGATGAGTCATTCTAATGCAAATTCAGCATGAGGCAGTGAAAGAAAATACATGGACAAAAAAGCTTGTTAAAAGATGCTTGCCAATATGAAGAGCCGTTTGCACCGTCGGAACCTCTTGCCGTCCTCGGGGACCTCAGACCTGTGCCCACTAGGAGTCTCTGGTCCCCAGCAAAGGCTCTGCAGTAGGGTCTGGTCGAGGAACAGGCGATGCTGCTTTGCTCTCCAGTTGCTGTGGTTTGCCACTGATGCAGGACCAGTATGGTAGCCAGGCTGCCCTCTCTTATCCTGGCTTAGCCATGGTAGATGCAGCTGTGTTACACAGAAGTTCTTTTTTAGGTGGAAATGAGAAACAGAGCATGCTAATGTTAGACCTACTTTACTAATTCCCGTGGCCTCTAGGAAGCATTGAAATAACTTCTATACATTTTATTAAAGATTATAGTGATAATCACTTTAGTGTAGCTTGTTGCAAGCTTATGAAATATAAAAGGCAGTTTGCTTTATGGCTACTGAAGAGATTGGCGCTAAAGGCTCTCATTCTGTAAGCCTGTGAGTATTGCCTTCCAAAAAATGTGTGCTGGAAAAAAAAATAATCTTTCTGGTAGAAGTTGAGGTCCAGCTGTATTGTCACAGGGCTGTGCATTTATACAGCACCTGCCAGCAGTTGCCCTGAGGCAGGGGGTTGAGGCTCTCTTCATCGAAGTTCTCCAGGCAACACCTGGTCAGAACTTTATGGAAAGAAAGCCTTTCCAGTGGTGCTATTTGTCTTTTCCCCTTTAAAGCTTAGTACTGAACACAGTGGAAGGCAGTTCTGCACAAGTCATTTTCAGAGGAGCAGTCTTGGCTTTGAAAGGGCAGAGCCTTTTTGCCTGGAGGAGGATTTTGGGCTGGTGTTTGCTGGAGCAGTACTGCGTGAGCCGCTCAGTAGGATTCACGGCTTTGGCAACGCAGGTCGTGTTCTCAGCTCAAAGAAAAAGTTTGCACAACTGGCAGTTGTTTAAAGCGCCAGCCAAACTGCATTAGCTTGGCTGGCCATTCAAAAAAGAGACTTCTGCACCTGAGCGCGTCAGCTTTTCCTCCGGAGCAGTGGCATTTCTCGCTGCCAAGTCACAGCATTGCAGCGTTGGCTCCGCTTTGTGCTTGACGAGACTTGCAGGTCAGCGTCGCAGTGGCTCCCGAGGCGCAGCGCGCAGAAGGGGTTGCTGTCCTGCCTCGGCACTCCTTAGCTGCTTGTTCTCATCGTGCTTGCTGCGGCAGTGGGGAGGGCATCGCTGAGGCCCGTCCTTACCTCTGTGTGGGCGAGGCAGACGTGGTTCTGGGGCTTTCAGCTTTCTCATGACATATCTAAAATTTTGCTTGCTTGTCTGTCGGTAATAATAGGTTGTCTCTTCTTCCAGTGTTCCCTGTTAGGGGAAAAAAAAGTAGTAACACCTTCTTGAAAGAAATCAACTAAAAGAAGTTATCTTAAATAGATTAAATTTGTGAAGCAGGTGAGGAAAGTACGGCTGTACTTCTGGCACCGGTTAAGATAATCTTAACTGAATGAAAGCCCTTGGAGCATCCCATTGCTTCTTGGATGGAACACTGTGGGGACTATGGTGAGTTGCTTTAGATAATTCTTGCATTTAATAAATAGGAATTTTGTGAAAGAGCTTACCGATGTACATCTTCCTAGTGAAGCGCTGGCACTGTTAATGGTATCTTTTTAATCCTGATGTGGATCTCAAAACCCTCCCTATAATTTGAGGCCAGTAGGCAGAACCCAGAACAACCTGAAAAACTGTTTTTACAGTCCCCACAGCTTCACGTTGGCAAGGAGGAGTATGTGCTTGTGTCTGAAGCCTCTTTAGGGATTAGGTGGTGCTTTCTCCTGGCTCTCCATTCTTTCCCAAGCTAGCATCTGACTTTCATGTGAGTCACAATGTGACTTTCGTCTAGGTTTTTCTTTTCTTTTTTTTTGCTGAGGGAGGGAGGGGGAAGTGGGTATTTCATATGTTAGGAGGATTTCATGTCTGGTGTGGAAAGCTTGCACTCCTTGCAAATATATGTAAACATTTGAGTGTAGCAAAGGGGAAGGGACGTGTTCCACCAAACCCCGGCCAAACAAGGCAGCTTTCTGTCCCTTCTGCCTCTGCCTGCCCTGTGTTAATTGTGTTGGGCAGACAGGCCAGCACTGCTGCCCTGTGATGTCTTATGGACCGCTGACACAGTGCTTAGCTGTAGCATCTCGGTTGCCTGCTCCAGCCAGCCGCCGATGGCCACTCGTAAATATGTAGTTATTGAGGACTGTGTGCCGGTGTTCCTCTACTCAAGAAACTATTTGCCAGCCTCCGTCAGCACTGGGGGTTTGCAGGTGATGCTCAGCGAAGGAGTGGTAGTGGGTCACCTGTAGCTGCCATGCTTTCTCTGTTACGTATGGGCTTCTTTTGTGAAAACCTGATCAAACCGTGCCTTCAGGGAGGCAGTGCAAGGAAGAGGTGATTGAGAAAGCCATAGTCTTGTTGTCGCCTCTTCTTAAGGAAAGCTAGTGCAGCACAGAGAGGCAGGAGGGCCGTAGCGGTGTGCTGACAGGCACCGTTGGGAGTGTGCTTTGCTCTGCGGTGGCTGCTGCGTTTCACATGTGACGGCTTAAAGTTAGTATCAGGTTCCCAGTTACAGGTAAGCAGGTATCACTGCTGCAAGCTCGAAATACAGTGTGAGGGATTCTTGGTTTATATTTTTTTCTGAAAGAGACTTAAGCTAAGCAGGGAAAAGTGAACAGTCGGCTTTGGTTATGGTGTGAATTAGAAGAAATCATACTGTTAAACAGCGGTAGCTCAAATCCGTACTGCAGGGAGTAAACTTACAGCAGTGTAGGCTTTAGGCAGTCTCTGTGGAACTGGGCCCACCTTCTCTACTCACTGTTGCATGACTATGCTTTAGCATAATTCAGTTATTTTGGTCACTCCGTTTCTAATTTATTGTTTTATTGCTTTCTTACAGGCAGGCAGAAGTCCTGAAGGCTGACATGACAGGTAATTGCCTTTATTATACAGTTGATCTAGCTGGTTGTGCTTGATTCCTGGTTTTCTTTTCCTTTTGTGTTCCTTATGCTTATTGTTCGTAAGAATTCTCTGGAAAGTGTGTGACATTATGTTAAAGCTTTCTCCTCTATATATAAATAAATAGCATTTTAACAACTGTGCCCCTCTCTTCTGTATCTAAAATACATGTATTTTTAAAGTTGACTTTGGGTGTTCTAAAGCATTTGGAAATGGGAGGTCACGTCCCTACTCCCCTGCGAGAGATTCCTGTCCAGACTGCCACAGAACTGCTGTACTTGGGATTAGTAAGGATCTGGATGGTTTTGAGAATCCTGGGCGATGGAGATGTTGATCTGAATGCTACCACATGTTAGGAAAGTGCAGCCCGTAGATGCTAGGAAGTGCTACAAGCTGTGTCTTAAGCTGTATGTATTTATGAATGGAAATGGTTTATCTTAATGCGTCAGCCATGCAGTACAAGCAGCTTGCGTAACGAACCTGTGCTCAGCCGTCCTTCCCACCTCGGTGCTGTACATGTAGCAGGTTGGCGTAGTCCCTGTAGGAGTGTTCTAACTGCCTGGATCCACCTGACCCAGCAGAAGCAGCTGCAGCAGCAGCAGAACAGTTTCCCTGGGGTGAGACCCATCCCCTGTGCTCCCGCAGTCCCAGCTCAGGTGATTTTACGAGGCATGGGAAATCGGACTCTATAGCTCGAGGTAGCAGGGAGCAGTGTTTGTGTTCACCCTCAGTGATGGAAACCAGATGGCTACCAAAGAGTTAGAAAATGGTAAGCATGCAGCAGTACTTGCCCACAGTGTTCTCCTGAACATCAACAGCCTTGGCTCCAGGGATTATTCTATTAAGAATCCCTTGGTGGATTTCTTTTCTGCTTTTTTCAGGCTACTTTGGAAATTTTTCTAAATTTGTCCAGTGGCAAGAAGTTCTGCGGCTTAGTGACTTACAGAGACTCCTTCTGTCTTTTTTTTTCTTTTTGAACTTGCTAGCTGCTGACTCTGCTCATGTCTGGTTCTGGTGTTGTAGGAGACCGGTCAGTTGATCCCCAGTCCCTCCCTCTGTAGGTCTTGTATTTCACTGTTCTGATGAATCGGTGATAAAAGTAGGTGTTTGGCGTTGGATATTTTACACTGTACGATGCTTTTTCATTTGGTAGGTGAGTGAAAAATCAGTTGGAATAACTCCATGAGTTTGAGTGTTACAAAAACTGTTGTACCTTTGTTTTTTTCTTTTTATTGCTCAGATTCGAAGCTGGGTCCAGCAGAAGTCTGGACGTCCAGGCAGGCTCTACAGGACTTATATCAGAAAATGCTAGTGACCGATTTGGAATATGCTTTAGATAAAAAAGTGGAGCAGGACCTGTAAGTACCTCAGTAAATTTGTATGTGTATGTGATCTGGGCTGATGAGCAGGAGACCCTGAAGGTTCCAGAGAAGCGATTGTATCCTGTGAAATGGTTGTCTTATTTCCTTTAAAATGAGAGCTGTGCTGTGGGTGAAACAGGAGAATGCACTGTGGACTCGATGAAGAGCATTCAGTGGGTTAATGTGTTATCTCTGGCAGTGAGCAGCAGCCGTGTCATGACCTGGCACTTTGAGCAAGGTCGAACGGGAGTGGAGTAGCTGCTGAAAAACCCTTGCTTTTAACCCCTTTGAGGTAGAGCTGAGCAGAGGAGGAATATCAGGAGAGAACTTTTTTTAGTGTGCCATAAGCACCCTGGTGTCAGGGGAAGATCCTACTGGGTTTTCTCCATGCCCTGAGCCCATTCCCCATTATTTAAGATGCAGACATGGGTTGTAATAGGTTTAGTTAAGAGAAGCATGTGGCTCCTGAGGGAAGCAAGATGCGTAGGCTGGCTGAGTTGTCCTGTCCATGCCTCCAGATGCTGAATGATTTTGAACTGATATTTCTGTACCTCACATCCTGCTCTCAGAGAGCTATGCTGCCTACACCAAAATGATTACAGATAAATATTAATGCTGTTACAGTGTTATCTAAACAATATCAGGATTGGTTTCTCTAGTTATGAGAGGTGGGGAAAGGTATTTCTTCTGTATTTAACATCATTTGTGATATGAATGTTGCCTGAATTTGAATAGATTTCATTTTCATGTCTGATGCTATGTAATTAAACAGTTCTTTCCCGTTGTTTATGCTGTGCGCATTGTCACTTCCAGAGTAAAAAAAGGAAAATGCTTGTTTTGTTTTCAGTTGGAATCATGCCTTTAAAAATCAGATCACAACACTACAGGGTCAGGCGAAAAACAGAGCAAATCCAAATCGGAGCGAAGTTCAGGCGAACCTTTCTCTGTTCTTAGAGGCAGCTAGTGGCTTCTACACACAGGTGAGTTGTGAAAAATGATGTTGGCTGTGGTATATTTGCGTAGTCTGGAAGCAAGCGTGCTTTCAGCCTTACACCATTTGCGTGTGGGTCCTTTTACAAAGCTTCGGCTGTTAGATCTCCGTGCTGCTCCAGAAACCGCTCATGAGCGATAAGCTCCAATGTCGTACCAGCATGTAATCTATCTGAGGAAAAGGGGGAAGATGGCTCGTACTGTATCAATTCCTAGTTAGATTCTTAACATCTGCAAAGCAACCCCAGTTTTTTTCCCCAGAACCTGTGTGATTACCTTCTTTTTCCTTCAGCAGTGCTTTTTGGAAAGCAAATTATTTAAAGCAGCCAGTTTGACAGGCTGTGACGTGGCTGCCAAGCGTTCTCTACCATCGCCACCATTTGTCATGCAAAAGCCTTGTTCTTCCCTGCAGTGTATTGGGGAATTTTGCTCTCTTTGTGTGTGACACCACAGACTCGGTCGTCTTTCTCTGTTTGCTGTGATGTTAATCGTCCCGTCTTTAGTCTAAAGATTTTGCTCAGGCAAGATACCTGCTCTCCAACGGCGCTGTCTGTGTAAGCGACAGCTTTGAAAGAGAGCATGAATTCTCCTAAATCAGCATGTTGGAAGATGTCACGTTTCTCTCTTCTATCCAGCTTTCATCTGTGAAATCCCTCTCGTTTGGGGATTTTTATCTACCGTATAAAAGCCAGAGCAAAAAGGGAGGGAGGTGTAACACAAACCTTTCTCTGCAGTGAGCAGAAGCACCGCATCCTATGTTCAGCTGTTGATAGAGCGCGCATCTCTGTCAGCACTGGGCTTTCTATATGCCTTTATCTGGAAGTGGAACCCTGCTGCAGGTCTGGTTTATCTGGAGACGGAGGATGTTCCCAGCTGGGAGAAAGTCTGTCAATTCCAGCTTGCGTTTTTAACCCTGTAGCACAGAAGAAGAAACGCTTCTCATGGCTACACGGTGACTGTTACTTCGCAGAGTATTTGCTGGACTCCGTTAGGAAAAACTTCAACAGCACTGATTAGAATGGCAAAGTTCAGATTTTCCTTGAATCAGCTTTTGAGATATTTGATCAAGCAGCTGATGCCTTGTTCTTTGAAAGAGTCTCGCTGTTAGTGTAGCACAAATATTTACTGACAACTCAGCCACGGAACGGTTAGCTGCTGTTGCCTTGCGTTGCCTACAAACTTGGTTTTGTTCAGGCTTCCCTCTAAAGTTGAAGTCAGGGTAGTGCCATTTCTTATGTTGGAACAAGCTGCTTCGGAGGATGAGGGCATCCCTTTATGTTCTTTTCAGAGAATGGTCTTCATCCAGGCAGAAAAAAAGACTGTGTTCCTCTTAAGAGTGGCCTATAAAAAAACCCAACCAAACAAAACCCCAAAACAAACACAAAAGCAAGATTTTTAGACCTCTGGAAGTCAATATCCACTGATACTTGCTCAGTAATTTATGTATCATGGGAATTGAGTTGCTTAGTGGTTTGGGATGCACAGCTCTGTCTTACAGAAGAGAAGCAGGACTTTTCTTCGTGGCTGTAGGCAGAATAATGCAGCGTGGAGCTCAGTGACTTCTGCCTAGAGAATGTAATTTCAAGTCTCTCTTTCAGTAACCTAGGCTTGTTCTCTTCAAGTATGTTTAGCTAATCCACGCCTCCGAGTGATGCTCTGTTGGTTTGTCTGTTGTTTCAGTACTTTCCTGATTACTGTCTCTAGCTGCTACTAAACTAGACCTGTTTTTCCAGTTATTACAGGAATTGTGCACAGTTTTTAATGTAGACTTGCCATGTCGTGTAAAGTCTTCCCAGCTGGGAATCATTAGCAATAAACAGACGCACACCAGCGCCATAGTGAAGCCGCAGTCTAGCTCCTGCTCTTACATCTGCCAGCACTGCCTTGTCCACCTTGGAGATATTGGTGAGTTTTTGAAGGAAAAACTGGGTTCTGCATGTGTTCAGCCATCCTAGAGAGGGATCAGTGCATACCCTGGGTGACTGCTAGACTGAGCGCGCTCCAAATGAGTAGCTAATAGCTGATTGTAGGTTTGGTGGTTGCTGCAGGGGAAAGGTCTGGAAAGCAGCGCTGCTAGACTTTTCTAATGTGTGTTACACATTAACGCATGGAGACAGTTAATCACAAGCTTTCTAGTGATTTGCTAAAATCTGTCTTCTAGCATGCTAATCATTTTATAGCTGGTAGGCATAGTGAAATGTTGAAACCGGTAACTATTACAAAAGCTTGTTGCAGCAGGCTAGCGTACTTCTCCATTTCGGAACATTACTTTTAAATCTTGTATGCAAAGGCAACAGTTACACACCCAGCCTTTCATAAACGACGTTTCTCTTTTACCTTAAGTTCAACAGATTTATGTCTTCGTTGACTGGAGTAGAACTAGGTGTTGTAGAAAGTTCTCTTTTCACAGGAATCTGCAATTGCTTTTGTAGTAACCTAAAAGTAGATCTAGATGCTGATTGTGCCAAGAAGTATGAACAGGATTTCTAGCTGTTTGGATGGGACGCTGTTGGCACAACATCTTTCTAAGTAAGAGCTAGTAAGCTGTGACAATAGGATCTGAGGAAAAAGAACCACCTTAAAATTCAGCGTTTTCAATCTTCATGCTGCTTGGTGTAATTGTATGTTCTTCTGATGCTTATTTCTAAGCTAAGTGTAAAGTGCTCTTCAGGTAAACTGGGTTGTATTAAAGTAAATGTGGAGAGTTGAATTTTATGCCTCAATCTGTTTTTTTTTTTCCTGTTTGCTTAGCTCGCTATAGGAATCAGACCAGCCAGGCAGAGTCTTACTACAGACATGCAGCTCAGCTTGTCCCTTCCAATGGTGAGTCTGAGATACCTTTTAGGTTCATCATTCCAGAGGAAGATTTGGGGTATTGCTCTTCTTGTATGGCAGTTGGAAACTTGAGATTTTGTATAAGCCTTCCTCCCTAAATACCAAAAACAATCATGCAACAAAGCCTAACTTGTTGGTAAATCATTTAGATAATAGCTATTTGCCTGATCTGTGTTACTTGTCTCCTTTTTGTAAAGATTAAAAAACCCAAGAAGTTAATGCACAGCTTCACTCCAAGGCTTCACAAGTGCTACATTATACTGTGTTAGTTTCATGTGTTACAAAGTACAATTAGTGAAAACTTGCCTACCAGTGGCATTTTTTTCTTTTGTTTGTTCAAGTGCCAGTTTGTAAAGTTTCGTAGCTAAAATCGGACTTTTTAAGTCGCTCGTGCAAGTTAAGAGCTTCTTTAGTTCAGGTATCTAGCTTTTTACACCATATTTGTTGTCCAATTTTAAAGCATGTGTTTAAAAAAAAAAAATCACAACACAAAAAAAACCCCACCACCAGCAAATAAGAAAAAATGTACTGCAAGTTTGGAAGCTTTTTCCTTTGAGTGGTACGGTATGAGGTTGGAGTAAAAGGGTCAGCAGATGAATCTTAACCTCGTATGATGAAGGTTTTAGAACTTTGTGCTCCGTTTTAAAGTGCCCACGCTTATTCAGAAATTTGGCACTCTTCACTCCATGACAACTTGTTGGACAACTTGTCTTTTTCTCTCTTAGGTCAGCCTTATAATCAGTTGGCTATTCTAGCTTCCTCCAAAGGAGACCACTTGACCACAATTTTCTACTACTGCAGAAGCATTGCTGTGAAGTTTCCTTTCCCAGCTGCCTCCACTAACCTACAAAAAGCACTTTCTAAAGCACTGGAAAGGTAAGACTAAGCAGAAAGTGTTTCTGCTCAGACAAGATGGAGGAGACTTCTTCCAAACATACCTCCTTTGCCAGAAGTTATTCATATTGGTAATAGAAACAGAAGTTCGTCGACCCCCATACAGTCAGAACATACTGGAATAAAGAATAGTTTGTGTCTGGGATGCTTCTGAGCGTGAACAGCGAATGCAGGAAATAAGTATATGGTGCCAATGTGAAAAAGTAGCTTTGTGTGGGCATTCACTCCATAGAAAAAGTATGTAATGTTATGTGCAGCTGTGTCTAATTCCAAAGACTGAAGTTGGGTATTTCTGTTCTGAATGTAGTCGTGATGAGGTGAAGACTCGATGGAGCGTGTCTGACTTCATCAAGGCATTTATTAAATTCCATGGCCATGTGTACCTGAGTAAGAGCTTGGAGAAGCTGAGCCCTCTTCGAGAAAAGCTGGAAGAACAGTTCAAGGTTAGTCCTAACAACATATTAATTAGTGTATTGAGGAGAGTATTTTTAGCAGCCATATTCTGAAATTACAGCCCAATAATTACATTTTCACGTGCTAAAATACAGGAAGCTCAAGTAGCCAGTTGTTTTGGTTTAACCTGGCAGCCAGCAACTAGGACCATGCAGCTCCCTCGCTCTCTGCCCGTGGCAGTGGGACGGCGAGGAGAATGGACAAAAAGTAAAACTCTGTGTTGGGATAGGGACAGCTTAATAAAACAACAAAAGAAGGAATAATAATAAAGAATATGCAAAACAAGTGATAACACGGTACGATGTTCTGACCGCCTGACAACTGATTGCGCAGCTAGTCCCTGAGCAGAAATCGCGGGACTCGCTAAATCCACAGAAAAGTGGAACTCCCAGAAAAGGTACCTGCCCTCCAGCCAACCCCCATTTATATACTGAATACGACGTCTATGGGGTGGAATATTTCCGTTGGCCAGCTTGGGTTAGCTGCCTGGCTGTGCTCCCTCCCAGCTCTTGTACACCTGCTCATTAGCCAAACATGGGAAACTGAAAAAAGCTCCTTGATTTCTTAGCAACAGCTAAAAACATCAGTGTTACCAACATCCTTCTCATGCTAAACTCAGAACACAGCAAGAAGAAAACTGACTCTCTCCCAGCTGAAACCAGGACACCAGTTACAGAAGGTTTGCATTGAAGCTAACACTGGATAGTTCTGACTTCTGCAGATAGCAGGATTTTTTTGTCACTTGACCCGTGCTGCGTTACTGGTGGAAATACAGGAGAAATCAATGACTGTAGTTGATTTGCTGCTCTTTAACTGGAGTGATTCTTGGATACCTGTTAAAAGCACCTGATTCATCTGGGAAGCCTTGGCTTAGTTGCCTCAGGAATTTCGAGAGGTTAATTTTTGGATGGTGTTTACTCACTCCCATTGGTTATTAACACTGCTTTTAATCTTCCTCAGACAACTTGCTTCTCCTGTCAGCAGTTTGCCTTTAAAAACAATATTCCAGTGCAACCTTAATTTGCGTGTAGGCTAGAACTGTTCAGAACATGTTTCCTCTGGGAAATCCACGGGTACCTATTAATTATGTAGCCAGCTCATTAAGCTGGACAGTATAGCAAAGATTGAAACAAAGATAATTTTGTAAGGTATTTATACAAAGTACTAGAGTTTCAAAGTGGACATTATATTAACTGTTACGTGCCTTTTGGAAACTGCTCTGCTTCAGCAGCATCCTCATTTGTGGAAAATGAGCAGGTAGTATGGATGCATTCAACAGAGCAAATGTAGATGCTTTTCAAAATGAAGAAAGAGGGAAATGGTCTTAGCAATATAAAGAATTATGAATGTTCTTCACAGTGCCTGTTTGCATTTTTGCATTGAATTGGGCTGATAGAGCAAGGTCCAAATATTCCTTAAAATAAAACAAACAGACAAAAAATCCCCACAACTTGTGAATTCTGTGAGCGTTGAATGTGAGCTGCTTGAACGCTGGGAGTTCAAGTAATGTTGTTTCCAAATGAAATAATTGTATCTCTCTCCTTGTGCGTGAGGGTGGCTGTTGAACAAGTACTGCTTTTTCCACAATGCTTATAATCAATAATTATGAGCATTGCTCAGGCACATGGAACAGTGTTTATTTTTCTGGACTGATCCAGAGTGTTAAAAGAGAGCTAATTGAGCCTTGCTTTGTTGCTTAGATTACTTTTTGGTTTACATTATGCAACATAAGGCTTAATTTACTAGGGAGCAGCTCTTCTGACTGAAGTGGGTTGAATGTGGATGTGAAATTGGCTGTATGGTGGGTAGTCACTTTTAACCATGTGGCTGACTTGACCTCTGAGGAGAGCAGTTGTAGGGTTAGGAGTGTTCAGCCAGGCCCGTGAGTCCGCTGCTGACAGCTCTGCCGGTCTCTGGGCTTGATGCCCTGAACTAAAAATCAAGGTTGAACACAGAGCTCAAGCCTTTTCCTGGTGCTTGCACTGGTTACTCTGCTTGCCTCCCTGACTGTTGTGTCCGAAGATGAGTTTGTTATGGTTTGGGATATCTCCTTTTTTTCCACAATGCTCCAAAAAAAGCATTGAAGTTGCTTTTCCTGTTCTGAGAAAGGTGTCTTTTGCAGCATAGTTACTGAAACGCATTTTTAAATAGCTCACGCTGTGTTAGTCCACCATGGCATTCCATGACCCACGAAGTCGGATGTAGAGTAGTCTTTAATACGTAACTGCACAGGATTTAGATTTTCCTGTTTTTTTTTTTTTTAAAATGTCACCTTCTCCGTACTGTTTCTTTGAAAGACTGAAAAATACAGTGGATATTCATGCCTCTGCACAATTCTTGCGGTTGTGCTGCAGTGCTGTCATTGCACATTAAAGTGACACTTGCTGTCAAAGAGAACCGTCAAGGGGGTGTTGGTTTGTTGTGCGTATGAGTTGATGTACGAGCAACAACCTTGGACCTAACAGTGGCCATCTGCCCGTGCTCTCCTGGGAAGCCCAGTGCCGTGCTAATAGGGATGACCTGAAAAGAAAATCTAGAATGAATGTTGCCTAAGGGCAGAAGCATTAGTCAAGCAGTGAAGCAGCAGCTACTAATCCTTTCAAGTGTGTGCTTTGCTATATAAAAATCCATACATTGACTGCGTGTTTTTGTTGCAGAGGTTGTTATTCCAAAAGGCCTTCAATTCTCAGCAGTTAGTACATATTACTGTCATCAATCTGTTTCAACTACATCACCTGCGAGACTTCAGCAACGAAACGGAGCAACACAGCTACAGCCAGGATGAGCAGCTCTGCTGGACACAGTTACTAGCTCTCTTCAGTGAGTTATGAAAACCAATTGATTTTTGTACTGCTCTTTTGTTTTTACGTGGGATCCATTAGTAATTTCCTGTCAGCGTCTAGCTTAATGGTTGTGTGAGATAAGCAATGAGAAGGGACGTTACGGGAGAAAGGTAAGAGAGGAGATGGTTGCGCAGGATTATTTATGTCTTAGTGCTGGATTTCTGTGCCCTGGACTTAGTCCATTTGAAGACCTACAGAACTCTGCATCTTTTTCCTGGTTCTGGAAGAACACTTTAACTTGGGTGCAAAGTTGGATCAAGTTTGGCAGTGGGTAGTACCACACATGGGGGGCTGCTCCACGGTTGGCCGCAATGCGCTTTGAGTTGCTTTGAATGGAGCTAGTTATGATTCAACAGGACTGAAGGTGAAGTTGGCTGAACTAGGACCTCACCTGCTTCTGTGCTCTTGATAATATCAACCAGCAGAGAAGTGGGAGTGAGCACAGAGCATTTTAGATTCTAGCCACATAATGCTGATTTGCTTAACCTGATCCGGCCCGTGATCAGCTTGGCCTTGTTCGTAAACACCTAAATTGCTGAGTAGCTGAATTTCTGTGGATTCCAGCCTGGAGCTGATTTTGAAAGCACCATGGTCACACTGGTGCGGTTTCTGTTTCTCAGCTGTGTGCTCTGGTGGATCTGAGCTGGGTGCCTTCCTGCAGAGTTGGCTGCAGTGGATTTCTGTGCCTGCTGGGCTGGGAAAGAGGATAAAATGCAGATTGAGAAATGATCAGCTCAACTATCTTAAATAAATGAATGAATAGTTTTGTGATAGGCTTGTCTCACTGGATTTTGTTAACTTACCAAAATTATTTGCCGTGATACTTAAAGAGAAGGGGGAAAAACCACCAAGGTTCTGCTTCATGGTAGAAAACTCCGTTGAGAAAAGATGTTCTAATCTGCTGGTGGATTTTTTTAGCGTCAAGTAATTGGGCTGTTTTGTTCTAAAGAACTAGCTCTTAAAGATAGTTTTTTATGGATGGCATGTGTTTGATTAGGTTATTTGGTCAGCTTTAAGGTGTCATTCCTGCATCGATTTTGGTTTGTTTCTTTTTGTTTTTCTCCTGCTCTGTTTCTAGTGTCCTTTCTTGGAGTTCTGTGCAAGTGTCCTTTACAAAATGACTACCAGGAGGACTCTGGGGCCGCATATCCTCTTCCGGCTGTGAAGGTTTCAATGGACTGGCTGAAGCTAAGGCCCAGTGTTTTCCAGGAGGCAGTGGTCGATGAAAGACGGTAGTGAGTGTTAATCTTTCTTTTGATACATTTGACTGCATAAAGTAAAAATATCTGATGATCCACAAATTAGTAATAGGAAAAGTGATCATACAGCTCATTATTCCAGACAGCAAAATGATAGAGAATGTATGTGCTAAAAAGTTCATGAAACAAAACATGAGACTTGGGGGCTCCATGAGCAAATTCACTGTTTTAATTGGCTTTTGGTTTGCATGTAACTTTTTTTTTTTACGATCAGAGGGATCTACTTCATAATGTCTGAGTTGAGCATGACCACTGAGTGTACCCTTACTCTGATCTATTGAAATTGTTTCTCATATTTATTGAGGTAGGTGACAGGAGAATACTTACCTTAATTTTGTGCGTGAAGCCATCTCTTGGGCAGTGCTGGAATCCAGTTTTCTTGGCTCGTCATCCAGGAATTAAACTGAATTTGGTACAGGGGGTCTCTAAATGTCAGCACAGATGTTACTGTTCTGTGCTGTTGCTGTGATTTTTCACTTCTGCCTCTAATCTCAAATTTAGGCTTAAATAGTTCAAAACTCACCAGCCTGTTAACTTTTCAAGAATTGTAGCCATTTAATAAAGTGTTTCTGGCCTCCTAGATGTTTCTTCAGATTGAAGTGACTGTTACTGACACAGCTGGATGAGTATTTTTCCTAGGGTGGCCACTATAAGGAAAACAGTGTGAAGCCAGCTTGCTTGGCTGATCTTGTGCGATGTGCCGCAGTGGTTTCAGCTCTCTGTGCAGCGTGCGCTGTAAGATGCGATTCTAGCCAAGGCTCACGCTGTCTGTGCATTGAAGTGTGGGGAGCAGGGGTCCCTATTAACCTCAGTTTGCTAAATGAGCAAGAAGACTTGCTCAAATGTGTGCAAAACCTCAAGCCTTGGAGCTCTGGGACCTTCAATTCCAGAGTTCCTGAAGGCAAGATTAAGGAAAATAAGAGTTCACAAATTGTTTTGAGATAGTAATAACTATTGCTGTATGCCTATTCTGAAGGAAGACTTTATACCAGTATTTTAATAGGGAAGATTACTACCTGATGTAAAGTAGTCCTTGCAGAGAGGAGATGCAGGCAGTACTTTATGGAGTAGCAAAAAGAATCTTTGGATGGGAGTGTATATGTTGAGTTAGCCAGAGTAGGTCCCTCTGTCCATAGAGCTATCAGGCTCTCTTTAAAGAACATACCTGGGTTTTACGTCTGTGATGTGATAACATGATGTCCTCAGGTACTCTTCATACAAAGGAGCCATGAAGTGGGCAGCAAACAGCTGTAAAATGCACAGGTGAAGTTTAAAAGAAAGTGAAGTACCACTAGGATTTGTCAGAATGGGCATTAGCTAGCAGCCCTCACGTTTGTTGGCTCTAAGAAGTCGAGAGGACTGTCCGTCTTCCCCACTGTTTGTAAGGATGAGAGTTTTATTTTTTATTTCTGTTGGAAGATCCCAATGACAGTCATTGTTTGCAGACTACACAAACGCACACACAGAGCCACACACCCTTTATTGGCCTCTGTTTAATAACATGATGTCTGTTTTATATTGAAAAGTCTGCCTTTCTCTGAATTCATACTTAGTTGTGCTCTTGGTTCAAGAAATAACTTGTATTCCTTTTTAAGCTTTTGGTTGTCCGCACTCTGTTTTTTACTTTCCTATAGACAATTAATCCTACCCCAGACTGGATGAGCATCCAAAGTAGAAAGGAAGTGTGTTTACCTACAAAAGTAGATGAATCTGAAGGCAGGATCTGAGGACAGAAACTACTATATCAATACTAGTGTCTGCTCTTTGGAAAGGAGTTTTCCAAACCTGCCCTGTGGAAGCCACGTTAGGTCTAGATTTTCACGTGCGTCACTACATCACTCTTCTTTAGAGATCTCTTATTATGAAATCTCATTATTTCAGATGTTGTACAGGAAGATTGCAGTTTATTGTAGGTTGTAACAGACTTGCACTCTCCTTTTTTTTCCTCCTTCAGTTCCTTGTCAGTCAGGGGAAGGAGCTGTTGCTTAGTTTAGCACAGAGAATAAGCCTAACCGTAACGTTTCCAGTCCCTGCGGCGGCCGTGCAGGAAAGCAGCTGACCTCAGGCTTTCGGGTGCTGTTTCGGTTTCGGCTGGCGGCGGCAACCAAAAAGCCCCGCGGCCGCCCCCC